AATGTCACACTTCATGATGCTGTTGTAGGCGGTCTCATGGATACCAGCAGACTCCATACCTGGTAGAGGACGAGCAGAGTTTTATCTCAGATCAAATACTGCATGTCTTGGATCTATCCAAAAACAAATGCAACTAGTTCCTCACCAATGAAAGAAGGCTGGAAGAGGGTCTCTGGGCAACGGAAACGCTCATTACCAATGGTGATCACCTGACCGTCGGGAAGCTCATAACTCTTTTCCAGGGAGGAGGAAGAGGCAGCAGTGGCCATCTCATTCTCAAAGTCAAGAGCCACGTAGCACAGCTTCTCCTTGATGTCACGCACGATCTCACGCTCAGCTAAGGGGCAGAAAGTTTACGTATTGAGAAACAACACTTGCACACCTCTCATATAACAAATGAACCATGATGGCATAACACCTACCAGTTGTGACAAAGGAGTAGCCACGCTCAGTCAAGATCTTCATCAGGTAGTCAGTCAGGTCACGACCAGCCAGATCCAGACGCATGATGGCGTGTGGCAGAGCATAACCCTCATAGATGGGGACATTGTGGGTCACACCATCACCAGAGTCCAGCACAATACCTTTAGCAAATAGAAGAGCAATAGTTATTTAGCTATGCATGCCTGTGATGGCAAAGATTGGCAGCTAAGTCTACCCTCTTTAAAGACAGTATGTCTCACGTCATAAACTATACAACGATGCTGACATCACTTGGCACACACCCTGCCGGAGAGGGATTAACACCTCCCTTTAACAATGAGACAGGAATCTATCCAGATGATAGACACCCTCAGAGTGTAAATGTTCAACAGATTCTCTCTTGCAGAACAATTTATTCTAAACGTACTTGATTGGGTTCATGTGAAAAAGCTGGAGTGTACTGACCGGTGGTACGACCAGAGGCATACAGGGACAGGACAGCCTGGATGGCCACATACATGGCAGGAACGTTGAAGGTCTCAAACATGATCTGCAAGAAAAAGCGAGCAGAGTGTGAAAAGTTTGCTTTAACTCAAGAATAGATATGTGAAAACAGAGTGGATAGTAGTGACTATAAAGTACCTGGGTCATCTTCTCCCTGTTGGCTTTGGGGTTCAGGGGGGCTTCAGTGAGCAGGGTGGGGTGCTCCTCAGGGGCCACACGCAGCTCATTATAAAAGGTGTGGTGCCAGATCTGACAGAGGAGGAAAAAGAACAGCTGATGTCAGGGCTGAAACAACTCTCTAGGCTGAATAAACAACAACCAGGTCTAAATAAAGTGCAAAAACAAGCAGCCTTTACAATGGCAGCCAGGCTGCAAATTCTCAAGTATGCAAGGGGTCAGCTGCCATGAATGTTGTAAATGCGTCTCACTGTCAACACACACCTTCTCCATATCATCCCAGTTGGTGATGATGCCATGCTCAATGGGGTACTTCAGGGTCAGGATACCCCTCTTGCTCTGGGCCTCATCACCTACGTAGCTGTCCTTCTGACCCATACCCACCATCACACCCTGAGGAAAGAAGCGCAAGAGAAGCATAAGATATAGGAAGAACAAGATTTTTTTTTTTATCACTCATTAGATTTGGTGTGTAGCAAAACATATAAGCCTACCTGGTGGCGGGGCCTTCCAACAATGGAAGGGAAGACAGCACGGGGAGCGTCATCTCCGGCAAATCCAGCCTTGACCAAGCCAGAGCCGTTGTCGCACACAAGGGCGGTAGTCTCATCATCGTCACACATGATTAGGCTTTACTGGGGTGGTCTAAATTTTTTTAGACACACAAGGAGAGAAGGTTTAGGCTGGGTGTTAGGAGCAGCTGTCTAAACTGCCCATCATAGAATACATAGCATGGGGGCCTGTTATAATTGAACAATCACAGACACTTTATTACTGGAGTGGCTGATGATGTGACAAAGTGACTAGACCTGCTATATCTGGCAAAATCAGTGGCATAATCAATGAATCACTCATATGATGATGTACTAGCTCTGATCAAGAACACATTTGGAGAGTTGCCAATACTATCTCATAAATGCTCTAAAGGTATTATCACTTTCAAACAACCCACCTCAAGCTATCTATAGAAAGCTAATTAAACGTGCCTTTGGGTGCTATTTTGGTGCTAACCTTGTTGTACAACTACTGATACCATATCACCACAGACTTGATTGTTCCTGGGACTTCTCAGAGCTGCTGAGGTAGCACCAAAAAGGGGCATAACAGAGAGACCTGGGATCTATTTTAAGAACAACACCCCTGCTGTGCTTAACAGGGTGAAATAAGTGACACATGGATCTCCTGCTATTTCAGGTCTGTGAGAGCTTGTCTGAGAGCCAAGCTGGCACCCATCAAACAGTACACTGTAACACTTTTTACTACATGCCCCAGCTGCCTCTAAACTTCATTCATTGGTGCATAGGTGAATCTGGTCAACTTCTCCCCAGCTTTTGATCCAAGTAATACTCCCACATAAGTTCTGTCTCTGTTTTTCATACCATGGAGTGTCTTCATCACAGGAAAGCACTCATTCATTCATTCATTCATCATCTAATAATGTTAATTTCCCCTTTAAGTCAATCAATCTTGCAGAACGAGTAACTCCAGTTTTAACTCTTCTCAACAAGTTCAGATAGCAATTACAGCTTGTGCACAATTACCAACCATTAGCTAGCCGAAGTTACATCATCCATTCATTCATCTAAGTATCATCAGCTTAAAGAACAACCAATGGACCATGACAGTAATCACACAAACAGCACAGCCCAGTGATTCAGAGAAACAAGCTGTGAAATGTACTCACCAAGGTACACTGGTAGTCGGATGCTTCCTCTGGGACAAAGGCTGAGGGTGAGAAGAGCCCCTTAAATAAGACCCAGACCGGGTCTACGGATCAGGGGCGGGACTTAGGGTTCACACAAGTCCAAATAAGAGCTGCCAGAAAAACTCAACAAGCCACAGGAAACTGTGTTTTACATACATGGATGGGATGTCTCTACAGTGCAGTCCAGTTGACTCACACAGTTTCAATTAAATATTAGTTGAAAAGCTAATGTGATAGTTGATGAAATATTATTGATAGGCCTCAACAGAAAAGGAAGTGTGGGCTCCTAACATACAGGCATCTGTTTACATTCGATTCATTTCATTTATTTATTTTTTAATGTAACATTCACATTAATAGACTTTCATTTCTGGGGAGAACATACAGACTGATCTGCATTCCTAAGAGGAAAGTTTATTTTTTAATAAACAGTTAATTAAGTGTAATTTCTTTATTGCCATGAAATAATAAATCCAAATCAAGACACAGTATGAATATCATGGAATCAGACTTAAAATACTATATTTTCTTTTACTCTGATGTATGTCATGCCTCTAATGTACAGGAACAGGTATGTCTTATGAGGTTTTCCTATGCTCATAACCACCTAGAAGGCCCACTTTGATGACACAGTCAGGCCAGAGCCACTGCTGTCTTGTTAAGGAAATGAAAACATTGTACATGTCTGTGAACCATGCTGCCGGTATGTGAGCTGAGCCTCTTCAACGTGGAACAGCTGATGGTAACGCCAGCAGGGCTCTGTGTCTCATCTGGCTGTCTCAGTGGTCTGCTGGTGTCGGTGCTCTGAGCTGATTGGCCCAGCTGTCTCCTTGTAGGGTTATGGTGAGCAGCAGAGTCATTAATGTGCAGCCACTAAGATTCCCAAGCCGCAAGCTTGCAAAGAGGAGTTCCATATTTGTGCCACCCACTTTTCCATATATTTCCACCATGTATGTTGCACCTTATGAGGTAATACTCTCATCTATGCAGGGATAATACAAACATTTGACAGATCATTTGTTGAAACATCATTTCCAAAGAAATTATTTAATGTGGTCAGCTATCAGCTATGTATTTGTGATAATAAAAGAAATGTATTGATTTGGGCCTTCAGGTAAGAAATAATGAGTCAGATGTGAAAGAGCAATACATAATATTTGAGTTTATATCATAGCTGGAGGTATGTGAGAGCATTCTTCTGCTCCAGGCTGCCCCACCAGACCACGGAGCCTCCTATATATAGCTGTTTCCTCTCTATCTTCACAGATAGGAGCTGGATGCAGATGAAGCATCACACAGTTATTTGAATGCCAAACATAACTTTCATAGATTGGATTAATATTGTTTTGAGACACAAATAAAGGAGATGTGATTCATGATCCGGCTTTTCTACCAGGCAACAGAGAGAAGCAGAATCCCAAAGCTTTGTCAAGAAAATTCTAATATAGAGAGAGTGTTTTGCAAATGTGTTACTACATACAGGGGAACTCCATTAAAGTTAGTTTACAAACCACAAGGAGCACTGCTCAGAAAGCCTGTATTACAACCTGGAGGTAATCACAAAAAATGTACACAACAGTATGTAAAATACTTAAAATTAGCTCAATCTCTGCCAGCTACAACACTAAAATGCTACTTACACGTTAATGCGTTAGTAATAACAGGATGAAGAGGTACTCAGATTCTTTATTTGAGTAAAAGCACAAAAGTATTAGCATCAAATTATACTTAGTACCAAAAGCATGCATTATCCATAATGGCCCATTTCAGAGTAATGGATTTCTAATGTCATTGAATTGCATGACGTGTACATCACTTTAAACACTGCTGGGTAGCTTGTGAATTTACCGCCAGGGATCAATAAAGTCTATTCTTATCTTAACCCATAATAACACATCATAATGTATTAATTGATTATATTTTGCATTACTAAAAAAGTACAATATTTGCCTCTGAATTGTAGTGGAGTAGAAGTGAAGCAGAAAAAAAAAAAAAGAAAAAATTCCGAATTGAGCACTTTTACTTTTTACATTTTGCTAATATACTTCCACTGTACTGAACACTTTTTATATTGCTCCTTTAACTTCAGCAAAAATATGAGATGATGCCCCACTGAATGCTTCTCTCTCCCAGCGCCGGGATAATTATCGCCCTCTATTGGCTACTATTGAGAACACAACGTGATGACGTTTCACCTGCGACGCAGTTTGCGACAGCCACGCGCCAGCTGCAGTGTTGTTGTGGTCTGCTGCGCGAGAAGTTAGCTATTACCGAGTAGCTGGAGACAAGGAGGTGTTTCTTTACCAAAGTGTGGAGTTCACAAAGTAACAGAGGAGCGGAGGGCGGCGGGGAGAGCAGCGGAAGAGCAGCGGAAGAGCAGCGGAAGGGCAGCCTCTTCTTCCTTCTTGTCTGACGGCTGTGAGTGTGACAGGGCAGGAGGAGGAGGAGGAGGAGGACGAGGACGGCCATGTAGTTGAGGCAGAAGAATGAGCAGTCAGCACGCGACAACAGATGGGACAGAAGACCACACAGTCCAGCAGGAAAATGAACTAGAAGCCCTCGCGTCTATCTTTGGAGATGATTTCCTGGATCTGCGGAACAAGGATCCTTGGAAGGTTAGCTAGAACAACGCATTTCCTTTACTAAGCTGTAGATGGGTAGAAGTTGACCACTGTTACCTGCACTGACCTAAGTGAGCATGCCCACCAATGAGGAGTCTGTATTTTCAGGTTAAAAGGCCTCCAGAGGTGCACCTGTGTCTGCGGCCCAACGGGCTGAACACTGGTGAGGAATGCTACGTGACTGTGGACTTGCAGGTCAAATGCCCACCCACCTACCCAGACGTGTGAGTACTGACCCCTGACCATTGACATGTAATCACTTATTACCACCGCACTGCAAGGTGTCCTTACATCAGTGACTGCTCCAGGCTATTGTAAACTTATTCAGGTCTGTCCACATACTTATGCTTATTATAATTCTCTTGAAACAACTTCCATTTGTTGGAAACCTTCACATTATTCTTGACATAATCTTTATTCATAAGGTGAAATGCCCCAGAAAAAATAAATAAAAATGTACTCTTATCTCTGCAAGGATTTAGAAAACTTTATTTAACTGAATGTGGGAACTTTGTGACACTGCAGGATATTAAGTTAGATTGTATTATATTTATTATTATAAATTCATCCATCTTTTCTTCCCCATATATTCACAATATCACACAGTTTCCACACGAAGCAGGTCGTAATGCTATTATACTTGGATTTTTACTGACTGTTGTGTTGTTCTTGCAACAACGAAGATAACAACAGCAGCAGCCCTGAAGCAGTAGAATGATGTTTGCAGCATTGCCAAGTGTATTTATATTCATTCACAGTTACAGACTAAAATAGTTTCACACTCACATGTTTCAACACAACAAGTACCTCTCTGCCTTGGAGCCTCATTTTCTCTCTTGTATGTGAAACAGTTGTCTTGTTATACGAGACCGATTTCAGAGAAAGTGTTATCTAATCTATAAATCAAATGTAATGTAATAACCAGCAAACCCATGAAAACCATCAAAAGACTATTGGTAAGACTAATTGTTAAAGAAAAGGAAAAAAATGCATAATTTTCTTTAATATTTTCTATAAAAGTGCCGGGTATTGAACCTAAATACTTTTTGGGAGAGACCAAAATGTGTCTGCAGCAAACATAATTAACAACTGTCAAATAACAAAGGCTTGTTTACTTTTTCTTCGATCAGATTCCTCAGATTTAAATCAGAATTTTGTCAGTTGTAGCCTATTTTATTCAGACGAAGTTCTTATACAGCAGTCAACATCTTGGCTGGATTACCAGACTAGAGGCTCCTGGACATTAATGGTCTTTAATGGGCCCCTACTGCCCCCACATCCACCCTCTCACTGTCTGTTACCAGCATACATATCCATATTACCAGTGCCCAGTACAGTATGTCCAATATCATAGAAGTTAGAAATCAAAGACAAAACCCAAAATGACTGCCACAGCCAAAAGAGAAATCTTCTTATGAAAACAATTAGATTTCTTCCACATGAGCCCACATTTGGAAATAAATTAGAAAGATGCTGCATACTCTCAACTAACTGTGGGCTTTAACATTCCACAGCACTGCCCCACGTGCCTTATGGTAATACAGGCAGCATCAGCACAAAGGTCCAGTGTGCAGTTATAAATGTCACCTCAGTGTTAACTGGGGATCATTAACTCTTGGTAACTTGTGTCTCAGGCCTCCAGAGCTGGAGCTGAAGAATGCCAAAGGTCTGTCAAATGAAAACCTCCAGAATCTTCAGAGTGAACTCACAAAGCTGGCAGGAGCACGATGTGGGGAGGTGAGGATGCATACACACACACACACACACACACACACACACACACACACACACACACACACACACACACACACACACACACACATACACACACACACACACACACACACACACACACACACACACACACACATATACACACACACACACACACACACACACACACACATACATGTACAAATAAAAGTATATGCTCAGACTACTTCTCACCTACCTGTCCACACAGGTGATGATTTACGAGCTAGCAGACCATATCCAGGGCTTCCTGAGCGAGTACAACAAGCCTCCATCGAGCTCCTTCCATGAAGAGATGCTTAAGAACCAGCGGAGACTGCAGGAGAAACTAGCCCAGGAGGAGCAGCAGAGGATGGACCAGCGGCGCAAGCAGGAGGAGGATATGGTGAGGAAGAGAGACATTTATACTGGATTAGTTTTGTCTGAGTTTTGACTTTTGCGCTAATGTTATTTCTCAGTAATTTGTCCAACCCATTCACAAATTATCTTGAGGGAGCCATAGGGTTTATGTTTGTTCTGTGTAATTAAAACTAAATCATTACTACGAGAATAATAATAATAAGAAAATTATCTATTTTATAAATTATACATTTATGTATAGCCAAGTAAGCAGAAAATGTGTAACTACACAAAGAAATGCAGAATAAGATACTTAATAACACAGTATTTTCTGTTATTGGATAAACATCAGTGTTCGTCCGAACTGGATTGCTTTTGCTTTTAAATTGCCTGTAAATACTTTAAGGATATGACAACCTATGATCCCTTTTGGGATTTCCTAGAACAACCGAGCCCCCAGTAACTGAAGCTGTTTTTCATTCTCGTAGGAAAAAGAGATCATGGCTGAAATCCAAAGAAGAGAGGAGGAGAAACGAGAGGAAAAGAGAAGAAAAGAGATCGCCAAACAGGTGTCTATGCACTCTTTATACTGAACAGCACAGTTTATATTGTATGGCCTGCAGAACAATCACATGAACAAAAATGGTGTTGTGATTTTACTTTTTGTGTGGCGTTCTATTCACAGGAACGACTCGAGAGTATGGAGCAGCCAGGCCTTGCTAATGCCTCCCTGTTAGGGAAGAGCCCACCTAGCCCAGGTGGAACTCCTCCTGAACTGACAGAAGCCAAGAAAGCAGTTGGTAGCCGCCGCCGGACTACCTCAAATACACGCCACAGGTACGCAGCACTGAAATATTTACAAATACAGCAAAATGCTTCTCATGTTAAAGACATATTGTCATAATGCTTAGAGTTGTATCTATGTTTCCAGACGTGACACGGTTAATGAAGACAACCATCGTTCGCAAGAGCTTCTTCACTTCAACAGCAGCACTTTTGGAGAACTTGTAGTCCACAGAGGGAAAAGCTTAGGTGAGTGCTATCTTGAGATGATGAAAGTAGTCTGGTGCAGAATAGCTCAATCCACCCCAGTAACCTGTTTGTACATTTGTGCCTGTGTTTGTGATTCTGACAGGTGAAAGCGAAAGGCCTCCGCCGGACGTTTATTATGGATTTGAGGCAAACTCGGGAGACTTCGCTGTGATCTACGAGTGGTCGCTGCACTGGAACAAGAAGATGGGAAAGTTCTTCACCAGCCAGGAGAAAGGAAGGATCGAGAACTGCAAAAAGCAGGCAAGTAGAGAAGGAAGTAGATATTATCAGTAAAGATCCCCTCGAGACATGTACTAAGACATATCCAAATAGTCTGCTTGGAACAGTAATATATGTCTGTTTTTACTGCAAAGTATAATTTCCACATTAAAACATTTTACCTCATTAAAAATTCCATAATTTATGAATATGCAAATTTTCCCTGTTTTTAAAGTTTCCTGCTGGACACAAGATGTCTCCTACTTGACTGTAAAGTCCACTTCTCAGTGTATGTGCAAGTTTCTCAATCAAACTATTTGTGATGTCACAAATCATGCTCATAGGCCCCGCCCCTTTAAATCAGATTATTCAATGAGCACAGAGAAACTTTCCACTTTCAGCAGATGAATGTGAAAACATCCTTCTAGTGTCAAATTCTGCACAAACATCATTCTGCACAGTGAAGATCAAACATCCAACTGTAGGAACAAGAAGGAAAAACCTATTTCTGAGTGGAGAGGGACTAAGAATTCAGTGGTTAAATAATGTATTTAACTGTTTTATGAGCAGGGAAATCTGAAAAATTCTCCTGAAAGCTATACCAAATGTACTTGCTAAAAAGTAAATTTCTGTCTAGATCCACGGGGCAGAAAATGAGTTTAACTCCCTCCTGCGCCTGGATCACCCAAACTTGGTGCACTACATGGCGCTGAGCTCCACTGAGAAGGAGGACTGCCTTGTGGTTAACCTGCTGGTGGCGCACGTGCCCGGCATCAATTTAAACCAAAGCCTAACTGCCCACGGCCCGGTCCCTTTGGATAAACTGTGCCATTACACGGCCCAGCTGTTGGCCGCTCTCGACTATCTTCACTCCAACTCTGTGGTCCACAAACAGCTGGGGGCCTCCAGCGTGCTGCTGGACTCTGAGGGCAACGTTCGATTGACTGATTACAGCTTATCTAAGAGATTTGCTGATATCTGCAAAGAAGACATTTTCGAGCAAGCCCACGTGCGTTTCTCAGAGGATACAGCGATGCCAACAAAAACGGGCAAAAAAGGGGACGTGTGGAACTTGGGGCTGATGCTGCTGGCTCTGAGTCAGGGGAAGGAGGTGAAGGAGTATCCAGTGATGGTGCCAGCCAGCCTGCCCGCTGACTTCCAGGATTTCCTCCAAAAGTACGTATGAATGGATACCTCACCCCCTTCTTAAAGGAGTGTATGAGCTCATTTACTGTAAATTATGTACTATATACTTTACATTAATGCTGGCCATTTACCAAGGCTCCCTGCAGTGCTTTAAATTTCTGTTTAGTTTGACTTTCTGGCATTTGTCTTACAGCGCTGCAAACATCTCTGCTACTTTTACTGTTGTTGTATTCATGTTATCATTATATGGTAATGCAAATGTACATACACATTCATTTACAAAGTCTCTGCATAATTTTAATGACAAAAGCAGATATAGTGTTTATTGAAATAGTGTTGTATTGAGTGATTATGCTCATTATTAATAATTATTTTCTTAATTAATTGGTTGTTTAATCTGTAAAACATCAGAAACAATGAAAAATGCCCTTCATAATATCTGAAGCCCAAGGTGACGTCATCAATTGTCTTTTTTTGTCCGACCATCTGTTCAAAACCCCAAAATAGTCAATTTCCTATAATGTGAGACAGAAAAGCAGCTCACTTTTGGCATTTTTGCTTGAAAAATGACTTAAATGATTACTGAATTACTGAAATAGTTGCCATTTTCTTTTAATTGACTAATTTCAGTCAAATTGACCAATTGCTGCAGCTCTAAACTGAAAGATATAATGCCTGAAACTCAAAGTTTCATGTCTCTGTGAGTTGATTTTCATACTGTACAGAAATGAAGAGAAACCAGTGACTACCTGGAAGGGAGAAAAACGCATTAGGACTATACCTCGGAAAATGGTTGGCGGTACTGTGAAGCATATGGGATTTGTCGTAAATAGGCTAAAACATGCAAAAATACTAGTTTGTTCCCTTGGATCGTAATAACGTTATTGATTGGCTAGCTGTTTAAAAGTGGTTTTCAGATGAAGTTTCTTTTTAAACAAAAAATTTAGTTAACAAACTAACTTAGTGGGGCTCATTGACATTATTCAGACCTTGTCCTTGGTTTTGATATGTCAGCTTTGTGTTGTCAGCAGACCTCTAGCACAATGTGGATTAGTACAATGGAATAGATTGTTCCAGCTCATTGCCTGTACAGATTACTGCAAAGTCTATTATACTGTATGTGTCTTTTTCTTAGGTGTCTGTGTCTGAATGATGCTGAACGCTGGACAACCCAGCAGCTTTTGGACCACTCCTTCCTCAAGCCTCCATCACCTAAAAACCCACCACAGTGCCAGGATGCCAGCCCAGAAGGTGATATATACATACATGTACACCGATCAACCATAACATTATGAGCACTGACTGGTGCAGTGATTAACACATGGCACCTATCAGTGGGTGGAATATATTAGGCAGCAAGTGAACATTTTGTCCTCAAAGCTGATGTGTTAGAAGCAGGAAAAATGGGCAGCGTGAGGATTTGAGCGACTTTGACAAGGGCCACGTTGTGATGGCTAGGCAACTGGGTCAGAGCATCTCCAAAACTGCAGCTCTTGTGGGGTGTTCCCGGTCTGCAGAGGTTAGAACATATCAAAAGTGGTCCAAGGAAGGAAAACAGGTGAACTGGAGACAGGGTCATGGGTGGCCAAGGCTCATTGATGCACATGGGGAGTGAAGGCTGGCAGCTACTGTAGCTCAAACTACTGAAAAAGTTAATGCTGGTTCTGATAGAAAGGTGTCAGAACACACAGTGCATCACAGTTTGTTGGTATGGGGCTGCATAACATTATGACCCCCAGGGTGTCATCATTTAGTCTATAAAATAATAAAAAATGTGCACCACAATAAGTAAGCTGACGTCTTTAAATGACTTATTTGGTCACATTGGAGAAGGGGGAAGCAAAGTTAAGTTTGGCATTTTTGCTCAATAAATGATGTAAACACTGAATCACTGTTGCTGCAGGCAAATTTTCTGTTTATCAACTAATCCAAAAATGAATCCCCAAATTATTGTCACTACTAATATTTATTGCAGGGATATTATATGGTATTACATTACACTGAACAGTTGGTTCCATTTTTCTGGTTAATAAGTACATATACTGTAGTATAAATAAAGGACAGGGAGCTTGCCCTCAAATGTGTAATACCATATGGTTGTGATAATTAAAAAATCACTAAGAAATGGATAAATGAGAAACTATGCCTAATAGTTCCTCCCACTTTTCTATCGTCTCAGATCTCGCCGTGGACTTTGCATCATCAGTCATCCCACAGAGCCACATCCTCAATGCTCCATTCTTCTCCGGGGTGCAGAGGACCTTTTCTCGCTACTTCAACGAGTTTGAGGAACTCCAGCTTCTTGGAAAGGGAGCCTTTGGTGCCGTAATTAAGGTAGGCTTTTTTTTTTAAAGGGAGATGACCTTACACTGGCAAGAAAGCTGTCTGCGATTTCTTAGTGTCCCCTTTCCCTCTGTTGAACCTCCAGGTTCAGAATAAGCTCGATGGCTGCTACTATGCTGTGAAGCGCATCCAGGTCAACCCAGCCAGTAAACAGTTCAGACGGATCAAAGGCGAGGTGACGCTGCTCTCGCGCCTTAACCATGAGAACATCGTCCGCTACTACAATGCGTGGATCGAGCGGCACGAGACACCCTCCACAGGGTTGCTGGGCAACACAGACAGCTCTGAGCCGTGGAGCAGCGCCGACAAGCCTCCTCAGCGCAAAGAGGCTCCGCAGCGTCTCAACGAGCTGGGCCTCCCTGATAACGTGGAGGACGTTGCCCCGCCCCCCACACTGTCGAGCTCGGTGGAGTGGTCCACATCTATCGAGAGATCCTCCAGCGCCAAGTGTAGCAGGCACCAGTCAAGTGATGAAGAGGACGATGATGATGACGAAGAAGATGTGTTTGGTGCCTCGTTTTTGTAAGTTCTTTTTTTAGTGGCAGTCAAGTCCAGCAACAGTTTCGCCTCCACAGACATTTTATTTAAATTTTTTTGCTTTTAGGCCATCGGATAGTGACTCAAGGAGTGACATCATCTTTGACAATGGGGATGAAAGCACAGACGAGATGTCACTGGTTAGAATATTTACACCTCATTATTTATTCACTTGTTTGTGTGTCAGGCACAGTGCAACAAACAAATAGTGTTTGTTCTCACAGGTTGAGCCAAGCAAAAGACCAGTGATCGACACGACGGAGAGCACGGACTCAGATCGACCTTTCATCATAGCACATCACCTGTACATACAAGTAAGCTTAACCGCCATGCTCCATTCTTACCACCAGAGCTCTCTCTGCCTTACATCTAATGCATATTTTCTGTTCCTGACAGATGGAATACTGTGAAAAGAGCACTTTAAGGGACACGATAGATCACGGCTTGCACGAGGACCAGAATCGGTTATGGAGACTCTTCAGGGAAATACTGGATGGCCTTGCTTACATCCACCAGCAGGTGTTTATCTGTGTGTTTTATGTGTTTGAGTTTCCACTCTCCTTTAAAGCTAAAAAAGCCACAGAAGTGCCCCAGCTAGGACCCAATGTTAGCCATGTTTGTTTCATACTTTAATAGCAATAACAGAAATGTTAACAAGAAGGAAGCCGTGTTTTGATTTACCCATGACCGAGAAGATCTCTTCTTCCATTCCCCTTACTTTTAGGGCATGATTCACAGGGACCTGAAGCCTGTCAACATCTTCCTTGACTCGCAGGACCATGTGAAGATTGGAGACTTTGGCCTGGCTACAGACCATCCCGCTAATGTGGTTTGTAGTGAACAGCTTCACCCTGCTGACAGGCTGCACTGTGGAGCTTGTAGCTTTTTTATCTTTATAAAATGTATAACTCCAGTGATAAAGATTTTATAAACTTATGGAGATACTGTTCTCTCTCAGGCTGCAGGTATATTTGAGGTGGAGGAGAGCGGCTCAGCAGTGATGCCCAAACCAGACCCAACAGGTGCAGAGAGTTTGAAAACACTCATACAGTGTTTTGTCTGATATGCACGTTCTTCCCTGACATTTTGTGTTGCTTCTGCATCAATATTCTACAGGTAACATGACAGGCATGGTTGGCACTGCCCTCTACGTCAGTCCGGAAGTTCAAGGAAACACCAAAGCCACCTACAACCAAGTAAGATTTCAGATTTTTCTTAAAATATAAATAGAATTTAAGCTTGTGCAGTTGCCTCCATGTAACTTGTTGGTCCTTGTATTCATCCATTTTGTTCTCAGAAAGTTGACCTGTTTAGCCTGGGCATTATCCTGTTTGAGATGTCCTACCGGCCCATGACGACTGGGGCCGAGCGCATCTCTGTGCTGAGCCAGCTACGTGTGGTATGTCCACGTTCAGAAAATAGGACCAATCCATGTAGATTATTAGTGTGTGTAGGGCTTTGAAACTGGCTTATTATTTAACTCATCTCTTTTCATGCTGCAGGAGCCCATCATCTTCCCTGAGGACTTTACCGCGTATGAGCAAGGAACGCAGGTGAGGGCGCTGTAGCACAGCATTTGATATAGAGTCTTTTTCTTCTGTGTCCAAGTCTAACAACAGATCGGCTCTCTGTGTCTCTTCTTTGCATCTGTCAGAGGAAAGTGATAGAGTGGCTGTTGAAGCACGACCCGGCCCTGCGGCCCACCGCCCAGGAGCTGCTGAAGAGCGAACTGCTGCCTCCACCGCAGATGGAGGAGTCAGAGCTGCACGAGGTGCTGCAGCACACCATGGCCAATATCAACGGCAAGGCCTACCGCACCATGGTGGGCCAGCTGTTTGCCCAGAACATCTCTCCGGTCATGGATTACACCTACGACATAGACCTATACAAGGTTTGGCAACAGCTATATTGTACACTTCTGTGTTTACATTTAAATAATGCATGTTGTATATGAGGTACAAAAACTTTTTGTATTGTTTATTGTTGCAAAACTAAGCCAACAGCATATTTTCCTTTTAGGGAGAATATTGTTTTACACGAGACCAGAGGGATGGTCATGTGTGTGACATTTGAAAATTTGGAGGATTTTATTTACTGTGCAGTTGTCCTTGTTAGGGACATAGAGGTAAAGACATACTGTAGTCATCTCATGTATTTTGCCAGTTGTTCCCCTCTCTACCTGAAGATGTCACTGCAGACACATGAATGGCTGCATCAGCCCCTCTATGCCGCTTCACTCATCTGGTCTGTATAACCGACCAGCAGAAGGCCTGTTAGTGCTTAATCGATGTCTCCTGATCCCTAACAGAGCCTGTTTGTTTGGTCTCCCTCCAGGGCAGCTTCAGCTTCAACAGTGCCAAATTGCAGCAGTATGTGCATGAAACAATCACCAGGATCTTCAAGAAGCATGGTGAGTACACTATGCCTGTTTGCGTGTGAACATGAGTCTTTGTTGACTCTCCACTGCAAATCACTTGGACTCCTGACCCGCTGTAAGCCTGTTTTAGAGACCCCAACATCTGCTGCAGTGAGTGGCAGCTAAACAATAAGCGCACTGTTGGGAAGCACAGATCCTGTGCAGGTGCTAGTGTTATTTTTGTGCACACTGGTGATGATGTCCAGCTGTAGTTATGTGTTTATCCTCGGTTTGTATCTGCTCACATGCAAGTCATTTAGAGTGAGTGTTATATTATCTTATGCAAATGTTGCAGTAATACATCGATGTTTGTCTTCAGGTGCGGTGCGTCTCCAGACGCCGCTCCTCCTCCCAAGAAACAGGAAATTGTATGATGGCAGCGAGCTGGCCTCCTTCATGGACCACAGCGGAATGCTGGTTACACTGCCCTATGACCTTCGTGTGAGCCCATCACACACACATAAACACACGCGCATGTCCGTGCTTTTACACCAACACTAATTATACAACTATTTGCATCAGCGCATGCAAACACACACATAGTGTGAAGCTGCAATCAGCAACCTTAAGATCTTGCTACCTCAGGAAAGCCTGAGGACTAAATGGTTGTTTCCACACTGTGATTGATTACAGCCTGGTATGCACTGACTTCACTGTCATGATACAAGTGCGCCCAAAGTCTCAACTCTCTGTTTACTTTAGATGGCGTTTGCAAGATTCGTCGCTCGCAATAATGTAACACATCTGAAAAGGTAAAGTTAAAGGATTTTAAACATTTTCCCGCTTTGTTATGATAAGAATATTGGTTTGTTAGTTTAAAGCTTCTTTCAAAGTGGTCTTACAAAGTTCTCTGCAACCAAGCTAAAAGCAAATGACTTATTGTTAACTTATAAAACACACTGATAAATGATCATTCATTGATTTTTTTGTAAGTCAAATCACCACCAAGTCATGTTATTTTGCTTTATCACCAGTAGGCCATTTGCCAATTTGAGAATTAACACAAGAGAGCAGGCCGACTTGTATTCTCAAAGGTTGATTGTGTTTCTCTTCATCTTTCCCAAGGTATAGCATCGAACGCGTATTCCGCCCCAGGAAGCTGGATCGTGCACACCCGAGGGAGCTTTTGGAGTGTGCCTTTGACATCATCACACCCGTCACTAACAGCCTGCTCCCTGATGCCGAGACCATTTACACCATCTCTGAAATAGTCCAGGAATTCCCCGCACTTCAGGTTACGCACATGAACTGCCTGTACTTTACATGATCCAGTGAGCTGACAGTTTGTGCTGCGCTGCCTCGTCTTGAGTCAGACAATTTGTTGATGCATAATTGTTCTTTATTTTCCTACGGATGCCATCATCGCAACCTGCCCTGTTATTGTTTTTTCCCTTTTTACTTCCCACTCGCATTCCTAGCATACCAAAGTGTGTGTAAGCCTGACAGATTTACACTGGAATTGTTATTTACATAGTAAATCTGTTATGTGCAGCACTTCCTTCCCTGCCTCCCAGTACAGTCCATTTCCTGTCTACGCATCCCAGTGCTGCGTCAGTCTCCAGTCGCAGGCCTCTTTGCATGTTTCATGAACCCAGTCAACCCAGGGTCTGGCCTTTAGTTCTTCCCTCATAGATCCTGTTTCTGATCCTCTCCACCACCTACCTCTTTGTGTAAAAGCTTTTAAGAATATGTGAGTCAGACGGAATGAGAGAGCAGCCGGACACAACAGTCATTATTCACTGAGACGCTCATTGTACAGTAGTGCTCTTGCTTTTGACTGTAATTGCAGCTGAGAGTGTTAAAGGTGTGTTTGCGTGTGTTTTGTGGCCGCAGGAAAGGAACTATAACATCTACCTGAACCACACCAGCTTGTTGAAGGCCATCCTGCTCCACAGTGGAGTCCCTGAGGACAAACTGAGCCAGGCCTCAAACATACTGTGTGACGCCATGGTCAGTGCAGGTCACACATGTATCACAGATGTTATCCACATCGCGTGTCTGTTGCTAATAGGCTGGAAAGAACATATATAGTCGTGTTCTTTCCAAATATAGCAGTGTTAACATGTCTGTGTTTGCTCCAGAGCGAAAAGCTGACCAAACGTGAGGTGGAGGCAAAGTTCTGCAACTTTTCTCTGTCAACCAACAGCGTAAGTGTCCCACCGGGTGCGGGAACCTTCTGTAAAAATAATCAGTCCTGCAGAGGCTAACTGGTTCTCCCTCGTGAACACTGAGATCTCTCCTCTGTTGCGTCCAGTTGCAGATGCTGTACAAGTACATAGAACAGAAGGGGGATCTAGAGGACCTGGCGCCACTGCTGACATCACTCACCAAACAGAAGACAGCCGTCACCCAGCTGGCCAAGCAGGGCCTCAAGGACCTGGAGGAGCTCACAACGCTGCTGCGTAGACTGGGAGTTAAACTGCAGGTGACTTGGGATTCTGGGTAAATGAATGTTACAGTAAAAGAAGAGCCACTGGGAATGTTTTCTCCACTTTTAACGCAGATGGATCCTCTCTACAGGTGGTGGTTAACTTAGGCTTAGTTTACAAGGTGCAGCATCACTCTGGGATCATCTTCCAGTTTGTGGCTTTCATCAGGAAACGCAAGAGAACTGTACCGGATATCGTGGCCGCTGGAGGACGCTACGACCACTTGGTAGGTTTCATTCATCCACATTCCACATGTGACTTTTGTCAAGTCATGATAAATATCTGCAGGTATTATTTTAAAAAATGTGGCCAAAGGTTTTCATTCCACATATGCATGCATGTGAACCATATTTTTTCCAACTCAAATACAGCTCCTCTGTCTGTATTTCATTAATTCCATATGATGCAGTCTACGTGTCTCTGTGCTGCTAGATCCTGGAGTTTCGAGGGCCAGCTTCCACAGTGCCGGTGCCCTCTGCAGTGGGGGCCAGTGTGGCTCTGGACAAAGTTTGTGCTGCTATGGCCAACATGGAGGAGCCAGTGAGAGACACAGAGACACACACACACACACACACACACACACACACACACACACACACACACACACACACATGCTGAGCTGACATTCCTAATTATTGTAATGAAGCAGCAGACAGAGCTACATATTTAATGATGCCTCATTACAGCAGGCGGCCGCCACACAGCCACTTTTAGAAACATGTTAATAACTATGATCAGTGTGACTCCTAATGCCGTGGAGTTATTTTTGGAGGTGCATCATTTTCTTTATTCCAGATTCAGAATGTGAAATGATGTGCCCGGAAGACTGCATGTACTGTAGGTCGAAGACAGAGAAGAGCATTGAAAAGACTCAATTGTTAGAAACAATTTTTCAACACCTCACTGCATCTTTTAGTATTTGACAGTTTTTTTTTTTTTTACTTTACTCTGTATTTTTCTCTGTATCAGCCCTCAGTGAGCTCCTGCGATGCACTGGTGGTCCCAGTTGGGCATTCTTCTATGTCCAAAGCCATCAATGTTGTCCAGAAGCTGTGGAGCGCCGGCGTCTCTGCAGACATCGCCTACGATGTCTCACAGGTTAGCGGTCTCCCTGATATCAAGCCAGTTTTGATTTAAAGGTGCTCTGTGGAGTTTTCTTGTAAATAAACAAATGTATATTTACTTAATGTGTTATTGACCATAATGCATTGTGTGTGTCCTTGAGGTCATACAAAAGTGTTCCCTTCTTGATACAGCATTTACACAGATATATATTTTTTTAATTTTGAGAGTGTTTCTAGGGGTCGAACATTTCACACGGTCCTTTAAAGTTCCTTCCAAAGTCCCTTAAAAAAAGTCTTGAGCTGTGATTTGGAAGTTGGAAAAATATGTCAAGTGTTGAAATTCCTTTGCAATGAAAATGTGAAAGCATTTATAAATTAGCGTCATGACATTTCTTAATGTCATGAGAACCAGATACACTATAAAGGCTTGTAAGCTTCCTGCAGGTTTGTAGTGTATTTTAAGGAAATATTTATATTTTTCTTCTGATCAGCCAAAAGATAGTGTTAATATCAAAAAGTGCAGATTATTGAAGACTACTTAAAATATAGTCTAGCCATGGCCATTAAGGCCTCAGCCTAAATATATCTGAGCTAAAGGAAGCAGAGCCCACGTCTCAGTAAGTCACTCCCTTGTTGTTGCTTCCTGTGAAAGGAAGAAATCTGCAGAGAGGACTAACATATAGCAGCACTGAACATTTAGTAACTCAAGCAGAAGTTGTTCTTTGAGTTTGTGTTCTTACACTTATAATGAGATAAGTGAGCCCTCGTGTTTGTTGTATGTCTAAACTCAACCACATTCCTGACTTTGTAGATCCCTGAATAGACAATGGGGAATTAGCTATTGTGTAAAATGGATGATTTTCTTAGCACCCCCGTCCTTCATGTCCTGTAGTATCTTCATCCCTCCTACAGAGGGCAACACCTGACTTCCGTTCTTGAGGAAAATGCCCCTAATCTGTCAGCAGCAGACTTATCGTGACGGCATAAAAAATTGTAAACATCCCAGAGAATGAGCTGCACTTTGTGGTTGCGTTCAAAAGAGGCTTACTGGCAATATTGGGACAATACGACATGGAGCCTTTTGTGCAATAACTGACTCAGTCATCTGATAGACAAGCTACTAACAAAGTTTTTTGATAAGCTCTTGTTAGAGAAACTCATAGCGTGATTGGACAATAGCCAAGCTGAGATCAGTCCCTTCAAAGCAAAGTTATTTATCTTGTGGTCCAAAACTCCTGATGCCATGCCTCTGTCACATTCTTCATGTTTATGTGACAAACTGATCTCAGCCTTGTGTTTGTGTGTTTGTGTTAACGCCCTCCCTGGCATCTTGCTGTACCCGCATTTAAATACTCCTCCTGTTTTTTCCTCCTTTACTCTTTATAAGCTATTGTTTTAACTTTCCACTTCTGCACTGGAGAAGTGTTTGCTTTTATAGTCTTCATTGTCTTTTGTACTGGCACCTTCATTTCCCCGGAGTTCTTAGAAGCAATTAGGAAAGGTTGGGTCTGGCTGGAAACAGGCGGTACTATGTCCAAATTGTCAACAGTGTTTGTGTGTGTATTTGTTGATTATGTATGCAAGCAGTGCCTTAACCAGTGGCGAGATGGTGAGAACACCTTGTTCGGACCTACTCACCCATAACTCCCCCCTTGCTAGACTTTTGTTAACACCTTTCACATGCTGGCCTCTTAACGGGCCGAAGCTTTAATTCATCCTCAGGAGACAGTTCCACTCTTTTAGCTTTTATTAGCCAAATTTGGCAAACCCCTACCACATGCGGTCAGCTTAGGCCTATGGCCCAGAGCTGCCCACCGGCCTTCAGGCGATGGCTTACCTTTGACTTAATTTGTCCAGTCAATGAGAAAAGAGGAAGTTTTAGTGCTTCTATGATGACGAGGCTCAGTCACACACACGCATAGGGGTTTGTTCCGCACCACTGTAACTCTAACGGAGCAGCCGGATGAAAATCTCTGGCTAAAGTTGGTGAGAATAAATTGGGCTGACATAAACTTCTACATACATACACACTGTCAAGGTTGAATGCATTACCTGAATACACATTGGTTTTGGTCTTGAGTCCCAGCTCAGTGTACACCCTTCTTGTTCCAAGCAAAACTCTACTTAAACTGACTGCTGCTATACAAGAATTTTTGAGCCCATGAGTCCAGCCCTCCCACTCCTTAAACTCAACCCATACAGGCCCTCTGGCTGTCATCCTCAAGCCCCAACAGAGAAACATAGGGAAAAGTCATCATCAAGCTAGTATAACAAAATATCTAGCAGTGAATTAATAATATTAGATACACTTAATTATGTTTTAATGCATACCTAGTTGGGCTGAATTACCTAGTGTGTATATGTGTGTGAGTGAGAGAGTAATTCAGCCTTTTGTCATTGTGTGTGTGTGTGTGTGTGTGTGTGTGTGTGTGTGTGTGTGTGTGTGTGTGTGTGTGTGTGTGTGTGTGTGTGTGTGTGTGTGTGTGTGTGTGTGTGTGTGTGTGTGTGTGTGTGTGTGTGTAGTCTCAGGAGACGTTGATGGACCACTGCAGGCTAGCCGGCATCAACTGCATGGCCCTGGTCTCTGACAAGGAGGGAAACTATGTGAAGGTAAAGCAGCCTTACAGAGCAGCAAAGTATTACATTTTGAGAGTACAATTCTTTACTTAAGAAAACAGCTTTTCTGTGAGTAGCATTGCAGATTGTGGTGCTTTGCAAACTGTTTTGATAAGAGAGAATTATGGAAGGGTTGTATACAGCAGCACGCCACAGTCATTTTTCTGCCTTCAGGTCAAATCTTTTGAGAAGGACAGACAGTCTGAGAAGCGAATTCCTGAGGCAGACTTGGTGGACCACATCATTCAGAAATGTCGGACCAAATTCTTTGACGAAAGAAACATCAGGTAAAGAGATTCTGATCAAATGTGCTGCTCAGATGTCTGAACGATGTAAAGGGGGTTGTTCTTATATAATGTGGTCCTTGTGCCCCTGCAGAGAAATCTCTGAAAGCATGTCTCTTCAGAACCCTAAAGGATCACTGCTCAACACCACAGGTAGTGTTCAGTTTGGTCTGTTTACCACTTACTCTTTACAGCCTCTATACACAGCTTAAACTGTATATTTGTAACCTTAAAGTCTCACTGCAGCATGACACAGTCACATCTCTGTTTTCATACAGTTTGACTCCACCAAAGTGCTGCATGCAATAAAAGTGTTAAATTATGAATCAGAATCTGCAACATACGACTGATCCAAGTGTTGCATTTTCACTTCTGGCATTTATGTGATTTGTTACCCAGAGGGCCGTACAATTAAGGCAGCAGAAGAAGAAGTTTTACACTTCATATTGCTTCTGGCATGCACACAAGTAGAACTAAGGTTAATAACTGAACTGAATAAGAGTTAAACATCTCTCTGGTATGTCTCAGTGTAAGATTAAGGTGTGATTAACTGTTAGATGTTGGAAATGTATGATGTCTTATAATTGTATAAAATGTGGAAATGGTCCTGTTTCTATCTCCAGGTTCTTCAGAACAGCATGGGAGCAGTGGCAACATGAATGTGAATGTCATCAGCCCGGAAAAAGTTTCTTCCAGTGCTAGACGACGCTATGAGACTCAGGTTAGTGATACACACACACACACACACACACACACACACACACACACACACAGATGCCCACTGCCATGAACGAGAAAAATCCGGTCAAGCTCGGCTTTCACTTTCTCACTCTGACACACATTCTTGTCTAATTCTTTTCTTCCCCATTATTATTTAAACATCATTTCACAAGCACTATGCATAATAATCTGAGATATCGAACTCAACTTGCAGCCTTCACAGCTAAGTGCAAACCTCCTGTTGGCATTGGGCTCCTTTGGTCTCCTTCCGTGTTTTCTTTATTGTTTTAGCGTAGCAAGTTATACATCCTGATATTGAAAAAAAATTGGTTATCCAAAATGAGTTGCACATGTTTGCCATTCAGGCAACAGTGGAGTTATCTGCACCTTTCTCTATAGCAAAACAAGCGGGCAAAAACTCTGTGAAGGGCCTTAATTGAGAGCGAGCATCACAAGAGAAGTAAACACAGCAAGATTGGGTTAAAATAAGGTTGCTTTCTTTCAGTTTAATTTATTTTTGCTGGTGAAATGATTCCCTGAGTATTTGCCATTGGCGTCTGTACATGTAGGCCAGGCCAGTGATTTGCTTATAAAATGATTGAATGTCAAGAGGATTTTTTTCCTGCTGGTTCATTTATCATGGGAACATTTTATTATTTCCTCCCACCCTTTTCTATTTCTTTCTTCTTACTTACTTTTCTCTAACTCTCTCTAACTCTCTCTTTCAGATCCAAACCAGATTACAGAATCTCGGTAGCAATTTGCAGAACAAGAGCAATGACATTGAGGTTCTGGCAGTAAGTGATTTTGTTTGTTTACCCCTTCATCCCCTCCCAATCCCAGCTCCCCTTTTCTACTCTCCCACCTTATCTCTTGTATTCATGTGTGAAATCACAGAGCGAGCAAAGCGCATTTGATAGCTAAAACAGCAAACATCACTGGGAGCCGACCTTTTATAGTTATTCGCCTTTTGCTAAAATCCCCTGCTGGAGGTAAGATGGCTGTGAATTCATTCCAGTCGCTACAGAACAATGAACACTAAACAGAAGGCAGCAAGCGTGTCATTTCGTGGGATGTAAATGGCTGCCATATTGAGTTTATTTGTGGTTGCGTCGTAGATTTATGGCCAGATATTCTCAAAGTAAATCAGCCCTGCTTGTCTTATTTACCATGTCGCAGCATATTCCAAATACATTTGTCATCCATGTTGGGGTCTGGATTGCATCAGCGAAGCAACAGTAAATACAAGTTATTGAAACATAACAAGCATAATCACCTTGATTTGGTAAGCAGTTGCACTGGTCTATAAGTCTTGGTTGCTGTATGTCAGCAGCCTGCTTGTCTGTCAGTCAGACTGGAACACAGCAAGCACTCATTTTCCAATGATAAACCCAGGAGGCCATTAGCCCCTTCCTGTAAAAGGGACATGGAGTGCTTTCAGGCCTGGTTAGAGCATTGTGAAAGTGGAATTATAAGTAATTTACTGATGTTGGAGTGAACTGGATTATCTTGTGTTGAAAGAGTTACACAACCTATTGGGCTGCGGGCGCAATGCTTGATATTTTTAGCTCCATTCCGAATGCAGCGTTCGGAAGAACATGTGGCCACTTCCAGTCAGAAAATATCATTTGTGGGGTTCTCTGTGTTTGTGGGATTGTTGCAACACGTGAAAAAGGCTCCATTGTGTTTTTGTGTAAGCCTGCTTGTTTTGTATCCCACAGGTAGACCTGCAGAAGGAAACGCTGATCAACTTCCTGTCATTGGAGGTTGGTTCCATATTGGCTTCACCAAGACCGTTGCAGAGTTAATAAAAGACTACTTCCTGTGTAAGGGTGGGAGGATAGGGGAAGTGGAAAGAACGGCCAACAGAGGTCAACATCCTAGACAGGAAGAGGGGATCCCGTCTCTTTCCTTACATTCTTGTCCTAGAGTGAGGGAACACCCCTGGCTTTTTCTATAGCCAGGGAGATCTGCTAAAGCTAACTTGCTCTCACTTATGGGACAGACACATACTACAGTTAACAAAACGCATACTTGAGAGGTGTTAATATTCGCATTCCAAACTCCTGACCACGGCCTCACTCATAAAACCCTTGGTTCCTAACAGCAGAGGTTTAAAAAAAAAAGACTAATTATATTGTGCGAAGAAACATGAAGAAAGCTGAAAAATGCTCTTAACACCAGTTATATAAGCAAAAGCCCAGACTCCATAAATGAATGGGCCACCTATACAGTCAGCCCCTCACAGCACATGTGTCAAAGAAAACACATTTAGTATATAAAAGGCATGACAATACACGGTGTGTATAGCCAGGCGTGCAGGAAAGGCCTGTTTTAAATATGGCAAATTACCCAAAAGTCACACAAGGAACCAAGGTACTCTATAAACCCAGTGTTCCTTTGTACCTTCACTGCCCCGCTACACTTGACATGCAAAAATATACTCCAAGGCTGCAGATGAAAAACCCAATTTTCTCCTCCAAAATGCTACTTTTCTGTAAACAGATATGAAGAAAATTACGTTGTTTTGGACAGTTCCTATCATTTTTGACTGTAAAACTAGTACCAAGCTTTGTTTGATGTCTGCAAACTCTGTCTCCATCTTGCATGTAACATTTTGTCACCTAGCCCTCACTCAGTCCCATGTTGTTGCTTTAAGCCCTGCTCTTTCTCTTTCATTGCAGTTTGATAGCGAAGACCAGTTCAACAGCAGTGTAAAGACTCTGCTGTCTCGTCTCCCCAAGCAGCGTTACCTGAAGTCTATCTGCGACGAGATCCATCATTTCAAAATTACGAAAAGGTGCGTTGTGTGCGGTCTTGCACTGTTGACTTCCTTGTGTTGTTATCATCAAAGAAAAACTCATTGTTGTGGATCTAGCTATGTTTTTCCTGCCAGGCCTAGCTGTGTCACCAGCTGTTCTCCTCCGGATATGGTATTTTAATGAATGAAAGCATATATTTGAGTGGATAAATAATACTTAAATGAATGTGGAAAAATCTGGTAATTAGAAGAGATCTTAAGGGATGCAGAACATATCTGAATAAGACAAAGGACAAGAATCAAAACTGAATTTTCTCATGCACAGCAGTGTTTTAAGTGTCAAAATGTTTTTCATTAAAATATTTCCTCCTCAAAAGAAAAGAAACAGCAGGAACTTGATACTGTATAGACATTTTCCGAACAAACAGTTGTAGAGGTCTAGTCTCAGCAGGAGCCCTTGTGGAAGATAAACCAGAGACCCCACAGCCTCGCCTCTCTGCTCGCTCCCACATGTTTCCATCTACTACTGACTTGTTATTTTTATTAAAATGAAACCTGAGGCAAACACTGGAATACATAAAAGACCACTTAAAAAAAAAGAAAAAGAGGCAGACTTCCTTTTACGGGCAGCTGCCACTCCAAAGCTCCGACCAAGCCCACGCACTCCAGGTGTAACAGTGACAGTCAGTCCTTCAAAGGGAGCTGTTAGACAGATAACTACTGCCTTGCAGAACATCAAATCCTGAGCTGATCCCATTTCCTGAGGTGAAATCTGGAGACGGATTAGCCTTGTTTGGTCTTCTGATGTCTGTCTCTTAACACCCAAGTTGATTGACACTGAGAATGCAGTGCAGGGGGGCGGGTTAGCTTCATCTATTACTGTGGTTGTGGATGGAGCGGTTAATATTCCCAAGCTTCCCAGCAGAACGTTTTTTTCAAAGCCCACGCTAAATCCTCAGTGTTTGAGCTTCTAGTGTTGTGACGCTCGTGAATGCCCATAGAGAGCAACCCTGTGAGGGATTCAGCGGATTTTCTCTTTCATGAATGAGATGGTAACAAAAAAAAGAAATCAAAGCCTCTCTTTCTGGCTTCTCATAGGCCTCTCCAGAGCAGTTGGTTTTAATTTCCTGTCTCGGCTGTGTGTTTGATTTGCCATTTAGGGGGAAAAGTCTCTGCTGATAAATGAGCATCACAGAGGCAGCAGTGGATATATTCAGCATGTGTTTTTATGTGTTTGTTTAGTTGTGTTCCTCGAATGTGGGGCACAGGCAACTGAGGCCAGATGAGTGGGTTAAAGGGCTCATGCAGTCACCTGGCTGCAACAAGACCATAAACTAAACCTATTCCAGTTGCAGTTACACAGATTTACTTTCAAAAACTACTGTGGGCAAGACCTGCATGTACAGCCTGTATGTCCAATGCTGTTTAGTTTATAGCCATACCAGCAGCACTGCGAGGATGTACTCTGGCACAGTGGTGATTTGAGCTTAATGTTAACATCAGCAAGCTAACATGCTCACAGTGACAATGTTGATGTTAGGCGGGTACGGTGTTTACCACATTCACATTCGCCATCTTAGTTTAGCATGCTAGCATGCAGAGATTTGCACCGAGTAAAGTACAGCTGAGGCTGACGGGAATGTCTTTTGTTCAGCAGGTATTTGGTCATAAACCCAAGTGAAATCTTGACCTGATGATGGCGCTAAATCTTAAAAAAAAAGAAAAAAAATCTAAAAAAAGTTTAGATGTCAATTTCTCCACTGAGTAATGCAACCTTATTACCCTGGACATGGACACAGACTCCTGTGTTATTCCAAGAGGACTGACCTCTCAAACAAGAGAAGTCTAAGACCTTGGAAACCCTCCCAGCTGAATTTCATTGTCCTGATTTTGAGATATCCTATTTGGAAGTTCTCCATAATGTTTTTAATATTCTTTTGAATCCTATTACTGAAAGATGTTGTCCTCTTGCAGGGTGGCGGTGGTGGTCTTGTACAGCTACAAGGACGACTACTACAAGATCCTTCTCTGAAAACCAAACACTTCCACTGATGTTTGAGAAGTCCCGCTTGGCTTGAGGCTCCATGGACTCCCAGAGACTATTCGCATCCTGGGACCTACAGAATCTGTTTAAAGATTGTCAGATACATACCTTTTCCATTTGGAAAGCGAGAGCCCAAAAAGACACGTGATTTTCTTTTTTTTTTTTACCATGTTGAATGGTAACTCTATTTGACCCAAAATCCATAACTTTCCCAACACCATCCAGTGTTTTGTGGTCTTTCTCAGACATATGTGGACAAGAGGTTCACTGGACTTTATTGCCTTAATAGAACAATAGAAGCTTAAGGAGAGGGTTTTTTACTGAATATCATGTGTCATAAATACAACAATTTCTTATTAGCAACAGAATTGATAGTAGAAATAAATCACTTTTTCCCACACCGAGCTGTGATTTTTGTGCCAGTTTGCAAGTGTACATGTGAGTATAACACACATCCATTTGCAGCCTTAAGACCCAATCTTTATATTGAGTATTCACTCATAAGATAATGCTTATCCTCATGTAACTGATACTGAATCCAGATAATCCAGACAGAAGTTGGGAATGTTTGGGGAGTTATGAAAATATCTGAAGTCAAATAGGAGTGTTTTTGATTGTCTTAAGGCTTTGTGTAGCAGTATTTGACGTATTCAAGGCCTGGGAAACTGACCCTAATGTTTACTTTAAGATCCTTCCGGAGAAGCTTCCTCACCTTGAAGTTTATGAGCAAGCTTTGACGGACAAGTCAAAACAACAGCCCCGTCTGCACTCAGGATTATCCAGGTTTCCAAGTCTGGCCTGCACATCTTTGTGTTTTCCAGTGTTTTAGTAGCCCACTGGCTAGACGAGAGGTCTACTTGCTCTTCCCCAGGAACTTAAATCTCAGAGGACCCCCCCATCAGAAACAACCTTCAGTATCAACACTCAACACATCTGCAAGTGCTACTGAGATAAGAGAACAACTTCAGTGAGCACGGGGAAAACAACCAGATTTGAAGCAACCAAGAGAAGACAAATTCCCCATTTGGAGCAGAACTCCAGGACCAGATGTGTGTGAGCCTGCAATTCTGCGAGTGAAGTAAAAACCACTAACAGATACCATCTTGGATGACATCACTGCACTTTAGGGAATTGTTCCTGCAACCCAGTTTAAATATCATCAGTGCGGGCCACTTTGGTTCACACGTTTATTTTTCAAAATAAGTGTAAATGTTACAGTTCATCATCTAGGAAACATATTTACAGGGTTTGCAACAGTGAAATAAATAAGGTTGTGTAGAATATAGCAGATAGAAATGGTAAATAGTCTACAATGTACAGCAGCTTTGGCTACCAAAAGTTCATTTTTCAAAAAAAATCTCAAACTATAGTATTAATAAATAAAGCTATGTGAAAAAATAAATAAGGTACTCTTCTGTCCTACTAATTTAAACTACTTTTTTTTTTTTACACATAGAAGAACAAAGAATTGCGTAAGCTTTTACAGTCGCCTCTTCATTTTAAAGCACATGGTCATGATTCAAACAGACACAAATCTACCGAGTTACTAAAACACTTCAATATAAATTGGTCTCCAACCAATTTTGGCATCAGAATGGTCTTTGTATTGAGAAATTGGCAATGGATTGAGAACTATGATCCAAAACCTTTTCCTATGAAACCCCAGTTTGTTGCGTAACGCTTTTTCAGATTCTGTCCTTCTCTGTGCTGATCAGATTGGTACGAAGCCTCTAGCCGCAACAGCGTGTTCACTTGAGTGGTTTAACATCTCCGTGAGCTTAATATGCCTATCAAATCCCCGATTAGGGCCTTTATCCCTCCAAGAATCCTGCAGTGAGTTTTTTTAAAAACAACCACTGGCTCCAAAGAAAAGTGCTACGTCTCTTTAACATGCTCTGATTTTTGTAACGTGTAGCATTATGTACAGTTACTAGCAACCCCTTACACTCTATCTTTGCATCACATAATTCACTTGTATATGATGAGAACCATCAGTGACGCTGTACAACACAATCTGTTCATCTTAACATTGGTTGAATATATTACTGTTTTTAGATTGCTTGATATGAGCTAACACAGTTATTAAATGAAAACAAGATATCAACAAAGAAAATACATTAAGGCTATAGAATTAAGGCTTTAAAATGAATCATAACTAACCATTGCTAACATTCGGTGTGAACAGTAGCTCCACACGCACACATACACACACACACGCACGCACACACACACACACACACACACACACACACACACACACACACACACACACACACACACAGCTGTGAATTAAGTTATGAAGTGAGGCATGGTATCAAAGACATTCCTCACAGGTCCAGAAGAAGAGTCTGGCACCATTTTGTCTCCGCTGCAGTCCATAAAATGACATTCTTCCTGGATGAACATCACTGCGCTTTAACTTCATCTCTGCAATTTTTGAGATGATTAAGTACGACTGATTCCTTCTGGAAGAGCCGAGGTCGGACGATGAATAAGACTGTGGCCTACTGTATCGTGGGTACGTTCAGAGAGGGACTTCACATATTTCATTTGGTAGAATTACGGTTTGTTGTTGGGAGTTCTCTGAATGGAATGGCTCGGGTCATTTGAAGGTAGGAACAAGGCTATTATTTGGGAAGCATGTCCTTCCTGAACTTGATCGGGGGGAATGTTTGGACTGGCATTTTCAAAAATGTTTCAATCTGGCCCCACGGAGACACCCATAATAAAAACAAGAGGTGGCCAAGAACAACACTACAACAAGTACAAATACTGTAGAAATATACAAAAACTAAGATGGAAACCACACATTCTAAAGCAGGGGTTTGGATTTGGGGGTCTATATAAAGCCTGGTGATTATGATTTGGCTGCTGAACCCAATGTGATCCAACTGGATTATCAGTTCCTTTGGCCTCCCTGCTGATGAAAATGATTACATCCATGAAGCACTGCTGAACTCGGGAGGGCATCATCCTCCATACCCCCTTTAAACTACAGCCCAAACCCCTGTCCTAAAGCTTTTTATGCTCCTCATATTGCCTCAAAGTTCCAGTTTCAAAAGGAGGCAATAATAAGCAATTATATTACAATGTTCACAGTCAAAGTCTGATTCTGACAGAGGAGCCTCTCTGGCTGCCTCCTTCTCTGTTTTAAAGCAGAGCCCAGAGTGGATGTGTCCTTTGTATGTCCATGTGTCCATCCACCTCCCAATGTCTCACTCCACCCAAAGATCCAAACACAGAAGAATAAGAACACATAATAAAAGAAACAGAGGTCGCTTGCTTTGTCTCTCGTAGAGCATCCTCAGTTTTACAGTCACACAGAGAGAGAAGGGTGGGAACAAGGCGGCGCCCAAGGTGTGTGTGTGTGTGCACTGTTGCACTAATCACCTTGGATACAGCAGTAAGAGAGAGTGGGAGGTGTCGGATAGCTCTGATCTGCAGGGATTGAGCGGTGGTGGGTTTTTTTAGCGCTGCGTCCAGTCGTTGCCCATGCTCAGCTTGGCTCTGGGGATGGTCATCTTGTCCACACAGGGGGAGCTCATTTCTGGAGAGAAATGGATGATGCCGCAGTCGTTCTTCACATTCTGAAATTTGTTCTCCTTGGAAGGCTCCATGTAGACCACCGAGTTCTTGTTTACATGCTTCTTCAGGATCACCGTCTAACCAGGAAAAGGGGAAAAAAACAACATAATCCTATTGTTAGATTGAAGCTATAATTCAGGTCTCGACAGCTACGTGATTTGTGATGAAAGCTAAAGCTTATTCATTTATGTTATCTTGCACTTAAAAGTGCAGCAACTGGACAGCTTCCAATAATACTCTGACAAATTCAGATTTTTTGACACCACAATCTAATTTCATGGTACATTTTAGGATGGATGTGAAGTAGTAATAAGCGGATTTATGCAATTTACAGATAACTTCTCACCTTCTTTGGTGCACTGTAGCAGGACATCTGCACCCACTTCTTTTTCTTGTTGATGAGTAACGCCACAATAAGGAAGATGATGATGGCCAGCAGGAGACCCGCCAGGATCCAGGCTGCCGATTGGTAGATGAGGGCCATCTCTGTTTGGCTGGGGTAATTCTCACCCAAACCTGGCTCATCTGTGGCACGCAGACAAAAGTGATATCAGATATCAGTCCCACAGAAAGCTCTTTAATTGCTAAACCCACTCAAATTACCAAATCTAAATTGAAAACAGCTTATTTGTCTGCTTTTGGACGATATCCCGGCTAAGTACTTCACACTGAACGCTGGGTGTCTCAAGACAGATGATGTGCCAGTATCCATTTATCATTATTGTTTAGTTCAGCATGAGTTAGTACACCAGTCACTCATTTATCAAGACAACTAAAATAACCTCCATTAGAATAAACATTCACAGAGATTGGCAGGGAGTACACGCAGTAATGCCAAAAACTAGGATGGGGTTACTACTACACAGTGTATTAAGGGGATTTAAAGGGGTGTGTGGAGAGATGATGTAATGAGCAGGTACCTATATCAGCAATGATGGGTGGTACAGTGGCGGTGGTGATCCACACTGCGCTCTCCACTGTAACAGTGACTGATGTCTTGGAGGCGTCGGTAGACAACATCACCGGCACCGACGTTGTAATTTCTGCTCAGACAAAAGAATAAGATCTATTACCAACACCACTGATGTAATGCAAACATTCAGGACATAAACATTTCTAACTGTGAGCTAGCGTATGAACTCCCTGGTGTCTCAATTGATAAGCTGTGTTTATAGAAACTGTCCTACTAACTTCCACTGTACCGCTTTGTAAAGGCATTACGTAAAAAGCTGTTTCCCACCGGGCAAATAACAAAAACAAAGGCCCGGCAAAACGGCTACGTATCAGGGTGAACAATGGGAGCCTATGCTGAGGTTTTCCTCTATAGGAAAAGCTGACATGGAGCTTTGCCTTCCTGTGCCGCCACAGAGAGAGTGTTGCGGGCCGGGGACAGGAAACACGTGTGAATGTGCGGATGCTCGAGGAATGTTTTTGCTCTGAGCGGGCCGTGTGTGTATGTCACATGGAATGTTGTTGCGAGTGGTCATGTTTGCCTATGCAGCGCCAGAGTGGCTATGCCTAACAAACAAACACATGCACACACATTCAGTCTGGAACCCCCTTGGTTACGCCCTCTTTTTGACATGTAGCATTATAAATTATAACTTTCCCAGCAACAGGCTGTGCCTTGTTCCAGTGGTACCACTTATTATAAAAAGGATGGTAGTTCTGTCCTTGTTCTCTTGTTCTTGTGGAAGTGATACATAAACTGAATTTTAGTATGCAATACAAACCCCATTTAGAATGTATATTTTATTTTGTAATATTTTTAGTGCATTAAAAAGTACTCAAAGCTCTGTCTAAAGGCCAAATACT